CACCAGCTGGTGTGTATTAGACGTGTGAGGTCGTTTGTTTACTCTTGAACATCCATTTCCACTGCTAAAACCAATCAAAATCATCTCTATTTCTGTAATATGTCTTCCATTCTATCAAATGAGACCAAGAAATCGCAAATACAACTATAAAAAACATACGAAAAAACACTGCAAAGTCGCTGTTTTAATCGAAAATCACTGTCTCAGTTTTTTCTCTCATTATACACTGTGTGCTGCAGGATTTGTTTTATGTGGTACACATACCACATAGATGTATTCTCTCATATCTAGGCCCAAATTTACCACTCACAGCTTATCAGAGTGAGCTGAGCTCATGGTGTAGATCTACAGTTTGGACCCTGAACGTAAAGCCATAGATCTACAGCACGGACCCTGAAAGGGTTAAGGTCCTGATTGGCTTTACATTATAGAACCTCAATGGCTTTTGTGGTAGGTACTTTAGTAAAGAGGGAATTCATGTCCAAACTGCTTAGTTTCTTGTTACAGATGGAGAGGTTTCGGATGCAGTTGAGAAGGCCGCCTGAATGCGTAAGATGAGCGGGGATGACGGCCCCCAGAAGACAGGAAAGATGTTTGGCCGGAGTTCTTGCCAAACATCTTTCCTGCCTTCTGGGGACCACTCATCTTAAGCATTCAGGCGACCTTCTCAACCGCATCCAAAACCTCTCCATCCGTAACAAGAAACTAAGCAGTTTAGACGTGACTTCCCTCTTCACTAACGTACCTACCACAAAAGCCATTGAGGTTCTACGACGTAAAGTCAATCAGAACCTTCATCTTCCTCTACCTCCCGGAGATTTTGTTTACTTGATTGAACTCTATGTTAATTTCAACTGTTTTTCTTTCAATAACAGGCTCTATAAACAAACCTACGGCATGGGAATGGGGTCCCCCATCATTGCCATCTTAGCTAACTTGTACATGGAACACCTAGTGTCTGAACACTTCGCCAACATCATCCCTTCAAGCGTCACTTGGTTACTTTATGTGGACGACATCCTCGTAATAACTCCCAAACGTTTCGATGTACGGAATCTTCAGGCAAGGCTCAACGCATGTTGAAACCGGCGATCCAGTTTACCCTAGAAGAAGAGTCCAATGACAAGCTACCTTTTCTAGACGTCCTCATTCACAAAGTAAATAACAACATAAGATTTCAAGTTTACCGGAAACCCACAGATAAAAATGATCTCACACACTTCTAGTCCAGTCAAGATACTAAGACCAAAAGAGGCATCATCATCAGAGTTTTCCTTAGAGCATACCGAATTTGTAGTCCTGAGTTTCTTGATGAGGAATGTACATACATTCACCAAACCTTCACTGATTTACATTTTCCTTCCTTTTTCATCAAAGATTGCAAGAAAAGAGCTCTTCAGATCATTAATTTTCCACACACCAACACCACTCCTAACAAAGTTATAATTCTTCAAAACAGCCAGGTTGCACTGACCATTTCTAAAGTACAGTGGACCCCCGCCCAACGGCGGCATCAAGTAACGGCAAATTCGTCTAATGGCACTCTTTAGAGTAAAAAAATGGCTCTACCAACGGCAAAAAACTTGTTTAACGGCATTCGTCCGGAACGTGTCCATGCAGCAGGAGCGCGGCCTGAGCAGGCCCAGCCACTCCAAGACTCAGTGTGCCATTGTTTACAAGCTGTTGCGTTCACTTCCATGTGTACCTGCCATACAATTTGGATTATTCCAGTGTTTTTAGTGTTTGTAACTGCTAAAGAAGCCACCATGGGCCTCAAGAAAGCTTCTAGTGCCAAGCCTGTGTTAAAAAGGGTGAGAATTACGATGGAAATGAAGAAAGAGATAATTGAAAAATACGAAAGTGGAGTGAGTATGTCCGAGTTGGAAAGGATATACAACAAACCCCATTCAACCATCAGTACTATCTTGGTGAACAGAAAGGCAATCAAGGAAGCCGTTGTTGCGAAAGGTGCAAGTATGTTTTCAAAACGGAGACCGCAAATAATTGAAGAGGTAGAGAGACTTATTCTTATGGATAAAGGAAAAACAATTATCAGGAGATAGTGTTTCTCAGTCTATAATTTGTGAAAAGGCAAGGCAGTTGCATGATGATCTCGTTAAAAAAATGCCTCAAAATAGTGATATTGGTGAATTTAAGGCCAGCAAAGGCTGGTTTGAGAGATCGTAGTGGCATACACAGTGTGGTAAGGCTGCCAGTTCAGACAAAAAAGAGGCTTGAAAAATATGTGCAGGACTTTAAGGAATACATAGAGACTGAATGCTTAAAACCTGAATAAGTGTTTAATTGTGACAAAACAGGCCTGTTTTGGAAGAAAATGCCAAACAGGACCTACATTACTCAGGAGGAAAAGGCACTCCCAGGACATAAGCCTATGAAAGACAGGCTGACATTAATGTTGTGTAGTAATGCTAGTGGTGATTGCAAAGTGAAGCTTTTATTGGTGTATCACTCTGAAACTCCCAGAGTGTTCAAGAAAAATAATATCGTCAAGGGTAATTTGTGTGTGCTGTGGAGATCAAACAGTAAGGCATGGGTCACTAGGGAATTTTTCTTGGACTAGTTTTATGGTGTGTTTGGCCCTACTGTGACAAAATACCTCCAGGAAAAAAAATTGTCACTCAAGTGCCTCCTCGTAACGGACAATGCTCCTGCTCATCCTCACGACTTGCAAGAGGAAATTGCAGGGGAGTTTGGTTTTGTTAAAGTTAAGTTTTTGCCTCCTAATACAACTCCTCTACTCCAGCCCATGGACCAGCAGGTCATTTCAAACTTCAAAAAACTTTACACAAAAGCAGTGTTTCAAAAGTGCTTTGAAGTGACCTCAGACACTCAGTTAACCCTAAGAGAGTTTTAGAAAGATCACTTCAACATCTTCAGTTGCATAAACCTTATAGGTAAGGCTTGGGAGGGAGTGACTACCAGGACTTTGAACTCTGCTTGGAGGAAACTGTGGCCACAGTGTGTACAAGAGAGGGATTTTGAAGGGTTTGGGTCTAACCCTCAGGAGCCTATGCCAGTAGCAGAAGCTATTGTGTCATTGGAGAAGTTCTTGGGGTTGGAGGTTTGTGGCGAGGATGTGGAAGAGTTGGTGCAAAACGACGAGGAAGAACTAACCACTGCAGACCTACAAGAGCTTCAGGTGCAACAGCAACAGATCACATCTCAGGAATGTTCTTAAGGGCAGGAGGAAGAGAGACGGAGGAAGTTGACTTCGTCAAGGATTAGGGAAATGCGTGCAATGTTTACAAAGGTGCAAGCATTTATAGATGAATTTTATCCTGTCACAGAAGTTGCAAGCCGTATTGCAACATGTACGATGACACTCGTGTCCCATTTTAGGAAAATCCTAAGGGCACGTGAGAAACAGAGCTCTCTGGACAGATTTTTCATGCGGCAGGGGTCCAGTGACTCTCAAGCTGATTCTAGTGGCATTAAAAAACCAAGAAGGGAGGTAACCCCACCAAAGGACTTAGTACCTCAAGTCTTTATGCAAGGGGATTCCCCTTCCAAACAATAAAAACCTGTATCATCATCCCTCCTACCATCTCATCACTCATCAACAACTCCACAATAAAGGTAAGTGCCATTTAATTATTGTTTATTTTGCATGTCCCATTCATTTTTGTGTAGGGAAATGTATATTTCATGTAAAAAAAATTATTTTGTTTAATACTTTTGGGTGTCTGGAACAGATTAATTCTATTTCCATTATTTCTCATGGGAAAAATTAATTCGACTAATGGCTAGCTCTCTGGAACGGATTAATGCCGTTGGTCGAGGGCCCACTGTACTTTCACAAGCTAACACCAGTCGCCATCGCTTCCAGCACTTCAATAAAGGATCTAACCAGGACAAAATCCAAGCACCATGAACCAGTCATTGCAGGGGTCTACACTATGCCCTGTGGAGGCTTCAACAAGATTTATGTAGGTGAAACAGCAAGGAACCTCGACATCCACCTCAATGAACACATTATACCTGTAGGAACGATAACCTGAACAACGCCTGTGTACAACACCGTAATTCCACCAATCATCTCTTGAAATTCAGGGACGCCCAATTAGTGATCAAAGAAACTAATTTCCACAGACGAAAGTGCCTTGAATCATTACTAATCACTGTTTCTAATACAATTAAACAAAACAAGGGCAGCTTCACCATCTCTGAAGGCTTAGCAAGAACCCTCCTGAAAACTGTAAACCCTGCCATCACATAGTCTCTCCTGTTCATACTACACAAGCACAGTACAGAGGATGAACACTGAAACAGGCTGCCTCTAATTCAACCTCCAATAGAAATATTTGTCTAACTTATTTTTATGTTACCCAAGTAATAGCTTTTATATCCTTTTACTCATGTGCAAATTAATTGCATTACTACTACTACTACAACTTATATTACTACTACTACTACCACTAGTATTACACCTCACTCTAAGCCTATATATACCCTCTGTGTTTGCAACGGCTTGACAAAGCTCCTGGAGAGCGAAACGTTGCCACAATAAAAATGTCACACTAGTTGCACTTATGTCCTTTTACTTTACTTAGGCTATTGTTTAAAAAACAAACTATTTACTTGTATGCTGAAACACCAGGAACACAACTCATTTGCAAGTTGAAACACTAGAAACAACTCATTTGCAAGCTGGTTATTGTTATATTCAAGGGGGAACGCTAAACCCATAGGGATTATACAGTGCTTGTGGGGGAGGGATGGAAGGTATTCAGGCTCAATTCAGGGAACTGGAACACCAATCCAATTCCCTAGATCAAGAGCTCCTCACCAGCATCAAGGAACCTCCCTGGATGGGATTTGCAAGCTGAAACACCTGGAACACAACTCATTTGTAAGTTGAAACGCCAAGAATGCAACTTGTGTGCGAGTTCAATGCTTCCAATATAAGAATTTTACATTTCCTCGTGTAATATTTTTCAGCATTTAGAATAAATTGTTATAAAATTTATTTTTCCTCTCAGAATTAAAAAGGAGTTTGAAGCAGATTTGGCACGTGTCACAGCCTCAAAGGAGAAACTAGCAAAGGATGCTGAGAAAGCTGAGGAAGAAGCCTTGAGGATTATCAATGAGACACAGGTAAGAGTATCATACAAGAAAGTAAATAGTGAATTGATTTTCAATGCAGCTGTTTTACATTGATACAAAGATCATTTTTTTCAAGTTTAGTGTCTATACAAAAATCTTTTTTTTTTTAAGTTTGGTGTCTATTTATATTGGGTGAACAAGAATTTTTTTAATGTTAGATTAGATTAGATTTTGCCACCAAAGTGGCTAGTTTATTGTGCACCCCATATCCATCCTGTGAATGGTAATGCAAGAGCATATGGATACACAAAAGGCCTAAGAACTAGGCCCCAAAAGGGTTAACAGGTGTACATATAGGTTTATGTCTACAAATCACTTATCTGTTGCAAGTAAATTTAGGAAATTTGCTTAGTATATCTGGTATCTTATTTTCATTAATGAGATATCTTGACATGTCACATAGGTTATTATACTGTCTGTCTCTGTATTCCTCAATAAGTGGACAATTAAGCACATAGTGTTCAAGAGAGTGACCATATGCCTGATCACATAATTTGCATTTAGTTTGATCATCATCTGTGTGTCTCCCAAACTGCCAGAAGTACTTGTAACCAAGCTTAAGCCTGGCCACTATAACATCAGTCAGTCTGTTCACATTGCAAATTAGAGAAGCCAAATACAGGTGCTCTTTGACTTACGACGGGGTTACGTTACAACAAACCCATCGTAAGTCGGAAATATCTTAAGTTGATTATGATATGCTAAATAAATAAATAATTATTGTCACTGAATAAGTAAATAAATAAATAATTACTGTAACTAACTGAATACAGTATTGAAAAGTAAATAAATGAATACAAGTTACAGGCTTGCTGCCTTCATGTTGGGTAATTATCTTCATTTTCATCTCTAAAGTAATTGCTTTTGCCCCCTGTAAGTTGAAACATTGTTAATCAAACCATTGTAAGTCGAGGAGTGCCCGTAATTAATATTATGACAGTGATAACTTGTAACTTTTTCTGTGTTTATTATTATTATTAAAGCTAAGTGCTAAACTCATAATTCTGTGTTTATAAATAAAGACTTGTAGGTGATGCCAGCTCTGGTGTTTTGATGTTAACTCTAGGATATACATCTCTTTAAGGGTGTTCAGCACCCCCATGAATGTAATATTAGCTTCTTCACAAACATGCATTAACCACTGTAGTATGATAATTGTTATGCATACATAGTTGCTTTGTATTTGCATTAAAAATGTGGGGGTTTTTTTGTAGTGTGCCTGTAAATTTATTTTAATTTGAAAGTAGTGTAACATATATTGTCTCATAAAACAGGAGTTCGTGAAGACTTTCATCAAGAGGGAAGACTTTGAGAAAGCCATCGAAACTGCTCTAGCAAACCCCGTCGATTACAACTTTGCCATTGATCAGCAGGGAAATATTTTTCGTGGCCGCAGCACAAGACCCGAGGATGTTGCTGAAGAAGACAAGGAAAAGCTTTTGTTTGCAGTACAGTCATAACTAATGTTTGCTATTGTTGAGTTAGGACACAGTGTTGTATATAATATTTCAGCGTCGTGTAGCAGATATCAATGGAAAAAATATTTAAAAGATCCAAAACAAGACTTTCTAGGTTTAATTGAAAAAAAAAATCACTGCAACTTGAGTGCTTTAATGTAATATTTGTTTTTAGAAACTTGTGTGTTCAAAAATCTTCTAATCGAAAAATTAATAATTTAAAATACTCTCTAGTAACAATTAAATATTTTTAGCTTTATACTGCACTCTTATAATCATTAACTAAGCACTAAACTCATAAGGGTCATACAGGCTGCACTCTTAAGGATTCAGAAAGGCTATAAGACCTACACACAACCATCGTATTCACTAAATCCTCAGTCTTTAACTATGGCCTTTTGCAAGATGGGTAACGCACTAAAGATTCAGCCTTTTATGGATAAGCTGTATACTCTTGCAACATTGTGGTGGTCTATTTGTAATATCTGATGGATTTTTCTCGTTTTTTCATTAACCCTTTCAGTGTCGAGACCCCTGATCCTTAACCCTTTGACTGTCGCAACCCCAAATCCTGAGGTGTCTCCTGGTGTCGCAGAATATTTGGAAAAAAAAATTATTTTCTCTTACGAAATGATAGAGAATCTTTTCCCGATGGTAATGACACCAAAAGTACAAAATTTGATGGAAACTAACAAAATTACACTCTCACGAAGTTAGCGATCTCAGCGATATTTACGCATCGGGATTTCACCCACTTTGAGCCCTATTTTCGGCTTCATTGTTTCAGTCGACTAAAATTAGTTATTTCACTAAAACTCCATTTGTTCTATTGACTGAGTACAAGAAACCGCCCATTTACCGATTTTAACTACCCAATAAAGTGGTCAGAATTTGGCAATTTGGCCAATGTCACACAAATTTCTGAAGATGCCAATTTCAAAATAGGTTCCAGAATAAACAAGGCAGACATTACTAGCACTAAAATAATATTTTCTCTGTTCATTAGTCATGTCTCCAGACCCCCTCTTATATTACTCTTGCTTTCCATTTTGAATTTTTATTCTCACAAAAATAGAAGATTTCCTATTATGCAGACTACTGCATTATTACAATAATTGTATAAATAATGTCAACCCATTCGTGACTGCATATTAGACTGGCCATTTTGACACGTATTGGACGGTGACGTCATTTGTTTACTCTTGAACATCCGCAAAAATCGAACATTTCCGCTACTTTCAGCTCAATTTCAAAGTACTTGTCATCGTGAAACCAATCAAAATCATCTCCATCTCTGTAATATATCTTCCATTCTATCAAATGAGACCAAGAAAACGAGAATAGAACCATAAATACCATATGAAATTACACCACAAAGTTGCTGTTTTAAACCAAAAATGTGGTCAATTTTTTTTTTTTTTCCTCATGCACTGCGTGCTGCAGGATTTTTTTTTTTTTTTTATACTGCACACACTGACCATGCAGGCCCATTCTTTCATATGTAGGCCTACCAGCTTCCTTCCACCAGATTTGAAGGAGCCAGAATATTGGCATAGTATTACGGGACTGACACTGAAAGGGTTAACAACTTAATATTTTGTACATGTACATTTTATGCATTTGGAGTAGACTAATACAGGTACCATCTGACTTAAAACCAAGCTTGGTTCTGACCAACCGGTCCTAAGTCAAAATGGATGTAAGCCGAACCCTACTACTGAATTTCAACATCACACTTATATAATGATTTTATTTTATTGTTTTATTTTGGTATTTCATTTTTTACTTTACTTTCTATGCTGATAGTACTGTATTTTATACCGTAAGGTTTAAGATAAACACTGTGTACAACACAAACAGTTGTTTATTTCCCAGAAATTTGGCATAAAAAACATGGTGTACATGTATGTATCTGGTAGAGAGTGGAGAAAAAAATAGGTTACTGATATAAATGCCTCAAAGAGAACTGTTTAATAATCAAAATACACGAAGGTAAATCACAGAACAGTTTGGGTTTGAACCCGTGGCGAGCAAGTCCTAAAACTCACTGGCCAGTGTATTAACCACTTGACCGACGAGCTGGCCAAGTAGTTAACGCACTGTCCTGCGAGTTTTAGAACTCTCACCATGGATTCAAACCCCACGTGCTCTGTGATTTGATTGCAATATTATTATTGTGATTTCATGAGTTACATGAAGATATATTGATACAGATAAATGTAGCAAAGAAGAGTGGGATTATAGAAAGGAACCCACATTTAAACAGACAGAAAAATATTTGATATGTATATTTATCTGAAATCCACATCAGCAGAATACAAAGTTTGAAAACTGCATGTTTTATTAGTTCAATAATAGCCCTTGTGGTTTAGTGCTTCTTTTTTATTATAATATTAATTAGTTCAATAGGCTCTAAAACCCATCAGCCTGCATGTTTTATAATATTAACTGGGAGGGAAGAGGGGCAAGATAGGCTTAGGTGAATGTCGCAATAAAAGGTTTCCCTAATACAAATGTCTATTTCTAGTCCACTCTGAGGAGTGTATGCTCATCCAATGAATGATGCATGCTTTCATTGAGACAAATACACACTTGCATGTATGCTTATGTTCTAGAATCTGTGTGTTATGTACTGTTATTGTAGCATATGCTAAGTGAAATGGCACATAACAGGAATTCTAAAATATAAATACAGTGGACCCCCGGTTTACGATCACCTCCCAATGCGACGAATTACAGTGGACCCTCAACCAGCGATGGCATCGATTAACGATAAATCTGACTAGCGATACATTTTAACGCAAAAATTTTGCCTCGACTAGCGCTTAAAAACCCGACCAGCGCTATTCGTTCCGTACGAGACGCATCCACTTCGGCCTGAGCGCACCTCACTTGTCCCATGGGTGCCAGCGTTTACAAGCCAGCCACCGCGGTCGCTTCCAAACATACAACTGGAACATTTCATATTATCACAGCCTTTGTAGTGATTGCACCTGCAAAATAAGTCACCATGGGCCCCAAGAAAGCTTCTTGTGCCAATCCTACAGCAAAAAGGGTGAGAATTACTATGGAGATGAAGAAAGAGATCATTGCTAAGTATGAAAGTGGAGTGTGTGTCTCTGAGCTGGTCAGGTTGTATAATAAACCCCAATCAACCATCGCTACTATTGTGGGCAAGAAAACGGCAATCAAGGAAGCTGTTCTTGCCAAAGGTGCAACTATGTTTTCGAAACTGAGATCGCAAGAGGTAGAAGATGTTGAGAGACTCTTATTGGTGTGGATAAACGAGAAACAGATAGCAGGAGAT